TAATTTTAGTATAGTTTATTATTATTATTATTATTATTATTATTATTATTATTATTATTATTATTATTATTATTTTTGTTAAGAATATTTATATACAAAAATATGTTATACAACACTGTTGCTATACCGAAGTTGATTGTTTAATTTAATCTTTGGGTTTGCAGTTGCTTAATAGAAACTTTATTTTGTGACATTTAAAAGCTTGGTAAAATATTTGATAATCAGTAAAATAAGTAAAATAAAACAAAGTGAATGATTGAATGATGTTTACTAGTGACTTGGCCCAAGTATAGAAAATATATTCTATCAAAAGTTTTGTATCATTTTATTGTTACTAAATAATGATGCATTTTATGTGAATAAAATTTAGTAAACAAAGTTACTAGTAAATGTTCTTTAGCAAGTTTTTTTAACTTTGAAACTTTTAACTTTGAGAAAAATTCTTCAAGTAAGTTTGAGTATCAAAAATGTATGAAAATGTATCATTGCATTCTTAGTAAAAATCATATAAATGTAGTAAACAGTAGTGTTGTAGTGGTAGGATGCTCCTCTCATACACAAGAAGTTCCAATGTGGATCTCTATATCCCTGGTAATAATGTGCTCTACTTGTTTCTTGAAGCAGTGGCCTTGTTTTTCAATGTTTGTGTTTCGGAATTATAGAGTTGAGAGAGGGTTGTAACCACAACTAAAATAGCCTCCTCGACTGCAGTGGCATAAAAATAAAAAAATAAAAACTATTGCTACGTATTGCTTTTAAAGTTTAACTTATCTCTTTTAAGAATTCAAATGCATTTAGCACATACAGTCAATCATTATATTTAAACAAAGAATAAGTTTTTTTTTATGACAAGTAAAATTTTTATTTACTTGTGAAAACAAGTTTTACTTGTCATAAAGAAAAACTTAATGACAAGTAAAACTTGTAACAAATACACTTTATGTTCAATGTGACACATGTCATAGTGTCACATACTTTGAGTTTCAATCTTTTTCAGTTTATTTGTCTACTTTGACTTGAATTCTAGTTAAAAACTAATTAACGATCTACGTTATCTAAAGTACTTTTTGAAATCTGAAAAAAAAAACTAATTAATGATCTACATTATCTAAATTACTTTTTGAACCTGATCTACGTTATCTAAAGTATTTTTTGAAACCTAAAAACATTGCGCAATGTAAAAATAAATTCTTATAAGAAAAAAAAACTCGAAAAGTTAAAATAAATTTTTGGGTTATTTTAAGAAATTCTTGCAGTCTATCAGTGGGATAACAAAGTTGCAATTATGAATAATTTGAAGTAATTATTAACATTATGACCATTATTATTAACATTATGATCATTATTAACATTATGACAATTATTAACTATATGACCATGTTATTAACATTACAACATTTTAACACTTGAAATTAAGAAAAAAAAATGATTTTTTTAATTTTAATTTTTTATAGTAATAATTGAAAGTTTTTTTTTTTTTTAAATAATCTTGAGCATTAGATTGCTAAGTTTTAGATTGGGTAAGTTTTATTGACTAAAAAATATCAAAATATTCAAAAAGTGAAAAAAAAAAAAAGAAAGGAAAAAAAAAATCTTCATCCAAGATCTTTTTATTTTTAATGCAATAAATTTGTAGTGAAAACCTCGAAACATTTTCTCAGAAAAACTTTACTTAACAGTTATTTAATATTTAACAGTTTATTTGATAAGTTTTACAAATATATATATATATATATATATATATATATATATATATATATATATATATATATGCACATATATATATATATATATGCACATATATATATATATATATATGCACATATATATATATATATATATATATATATATATATATATATATATATATATATATATATATATATATATATATATATATATATATGCACATATATATATATATGCACATATATATATATACACATACACATATATATATATACATACACACACACACACATATATATATATATATATACATACACACACACACACACACACACACACACACACACACACACACACACACACACACACATATATATATATAAATATATATATATATATATATATATATATATATATATATATATATATATATATATATATATATATATTAAACTGATAGTTTAGATAAGCACTCTGATGTCACACTGAAATAGCCTGCTACCGGGGGCTTCACTATATACATAGAATGAAAAATAGCGTGACTCGCAGCAGAGTGCTGCTACATCATCTGAAGGTTTGCCATGGGGAAGCAATCTTTTCTTTCATTATTCTTTGTTTTTTTCTTCTTTTAATGATGTTTAGGTATAAAAAATTTTCAGAAATTTAATAAAAAAAGTTAATGTGCTTTAATTTTTTTTTTCCTTGTTATAATATTTTTCTATAAACTTTTTTTTTTGTTAATTCTTATAAAAATTCTTTTTTTATCTGCACTACAAATATGGAAAGCTCTAAAATTGGTACTTTCTCATCTTTTCTACATTTACACTTAACATGAATATTTTATACATTCTGATTCACAAGTTGGTTTGCAAAATCACCTTTATTTTTGTTCTTTATGGTTCTGCTTTTTTTAAATGCTTATGTTTTATTTCTGATCACGTTGACCCGTCCTCATTATTTATCTGTTAATATTGTTGTTGTTGGTTTTTATCACACTAAATAACTCAACAAATAAATACATTTTAACCTGCACACTAAAGTCCAAAATTTTGTCATTTTAAAACTCAAATCCAGATAGTCACCTTTATGACTTGGATATGATTTTTAGACTCTGCTTTTTACTTATGTATCTTGAGTCTAACAAATTTTTCTCTGATATTTAATAAAGATTTTGATCCTTTTATTCCATTACTGATTTGTTAACTGTAAATATATCAAGGTTCTTGTAAATTAGAGGGAAGAAATAGTCAAGGATTATTGCTATATCAAAGGCTTTTGCTTGACTATATTGATCTCCATAAGCATTCTTGGTATCAGAAAATTTTCAAAACAAAATAAAAATAACAAAATAAGTTATTTCTCATCTCATTAATAATCTTTCTTAAAATTTTACCTTTAAATGTTTAATATATTTACGTTTAAATCAGCTGTACTTGCTGATGAACTATATATACCAGTCTTAATAAAACTTTGTTATAATTTAAAGTCTTTACTAAATATAAATGAAATTTAAAATTAAATGTTTTAATTATAAGTCTTTATAAATAGTCATCACAGATTACTAAGTATTGTACATAATTTCTGTGAGGCAACAACAAAAAAACTGCTTGAAGCATGGCTCCTTGATAAAGAACGTCAGCTATCAGCCAAGAAGTTTGTTGTTGTTTTATCACTTTTTTTTCCTTCAATTAAAAAGAAGTAAAATATAATGTTATAAAATTCAGAGTAAAAATTCAGAAGTTTTAGAAAATCCTTTAGTAACAGTAGTAGAGCAAGAGGATTAAAAACTGTATTGATTGTCTCAAAGCCCTTGCTAATAACATAAAGAAGACTGATGGGGATAATAATTAGGGGGTCAGAATGTTCTTCAAAGTTTTTAAAGATTCAAACAACAGATGTCATTTTCCAACAAGCAGAAAAATAAAACTCAGTCAATAATTTTATTAAACAGTTTTGAGAGAATTAAAGAGAGTTCTGGAGAACAATTTTGTTAGACTACGATAGAAATGTTGTCTGGACCATAAGGCATAAAAGAGTTTTTAAATGACTTAAAAACAGAAGCTGGAGTGATTTGAATGTCTAACAATGGGTTAACCTGTTTAATCGGAATGAAAGGAAAAAATTGGCCATAAGATTAAAGAGTCAAATTAGAAGAAAAGTTATTTGCAAGTAACTCTGTCTTATACTTGGAAGAGGTAATAAGATTAGTCCCATGAATGACAGATGGAATGTTAAACCTACCCTCGTTAATGACACTGTTGAAAATTTTCTAAAATCCCAAGAGCCTAACTTTTGAGATAAGATGCAATATTTAGTGAACTGAGAATAATGGAGCTTAGCATCAGACAACACCTTTTTACATCGATTTCTTACAATAGTAATTAGCTGTTTGTTCTCAAGAGAGTTGTTTTTTTAAAAAAGATTAAAAAATGATTACGATTAGATATTGCTGCTGCTCAAGAAAGTGAAAAGTATGAAGTAAAAATGTTGTTTTAGAGCAAATATAATTCACTCAAAATTTTGAATTTTGGCTGAAATTAATTTCAAGCTAAGAGTAAAAAAAACCTTTGAAATCTCTTTGAAATCAACTGTTTGCAAATAAATTCCATTTAGAACAAGACAGAAGAAGACATTATGAAACATATGCAATTCTTAGAAAATTAAAGGTTGTGGAAAACTATTTCTCTGAATGTAACATGTCAATAAAAAGTTCGTTTTTTTTTTAATATACTTTCTTCTAAACCCAAATGTAATAGTTATTTAATTTATTTATCTTTAGTTATAAATTAAATAACTATTAAATAACTATTAACTAAAGTTCCTATAGAAAGTTGCATACTTATGACCAGTTTAGTCATGTTTAAAGTCTTATTAATTATTTTGATAAAAGTTAAGGTGCATAGAAATGTGTCAGAAAGTCAATTTCATTTGCAACCCTGCTGTTTCTTTACAACTCTAAGTCAAGCATCAAAGTAGCAAATAATAAATATAAAAGGTGGCTCCTGGATTAGTATCAGAGAAATAGAAAAATATTTTTTAGAGAACTGCATTAAAAATATTCTAAAAACATTTAAAGCAACATATAGCATTCGATGTTATGTAGAATCCAGAAAATTTAAACAACAACAGAGTATAATAAAATAAGAGGCAACCAAGATTATCAAGTTTAAAGCTTATATACCATAAAATAAGAGGTTATACCAGGGTTAGTTGTTAAAAGATTTGAAAAGTGTAGCAGTTGCTTTGTTGTACAGAAGTTTAAGGCAGCATTAATGATTGATAATGTGCATTAATAGTATTATATTTTTCAGGGACCTTCATTGTATGTGTATAACAATGCTAAGTTTACAGAAAAAGACTGGGATGGAATTAGTTCTTTGGGAATAAGCTGTAAAGAAAAAGAAGTTTTAAAAGTTGGAAAATTTGGATTAGGCTTTAAATCAGTATTCCATTTAACAGGTTTTATTTTTACTTTTATTTTTTGTAACAATCCTTAAATAGTGATTTACTAAAATTATTTTTACGTTACATACAGATTTTCCTATGGTAATGAGTGGTACAAAGTTCATGTTCCTTGATCCTATGGTCTGTACATTGAACAGCGAAGTTCTTGAGTTTGATTTTCAAAATAACGAAGATCGATTGATATTTCAAAATCATACTGATTTTGAGTTGTTCAAAAGGTTATTTCAAATTAAAGAGAATGGTGTAAACGGAACTTTATTTCGCTTTCCTTTGAGACAAAAAAAATCAGATTTATCTGAGTTTTGCTATAATAATGGTCAACTAAATGAATTGATTAAATCACTTAAAGATAATGGTTACTTGAATTTATTGTTTTTAAAGAGTGTAAAACATATAGAGTTATGTCGTATTACAAAAGGAAGCAATAAAAAAGTAGTTGAATATTCAATTGCATTGACAGAAGATTGCATTAAAAAGTATGGTAATTCAAAAATGCAGTTTATTGATAAAATTAAAAAACAGCTTCAATCTCCTAGTTGCTCTGAAGTAACTAATGACTATGAAGTGAACATTATAGAGAAAGAAATAAATACACCTGAAATTAACTATTGCTATTTTGTAAGTGAATACTATAGCGCTGCTTCATCAGATTTCAATAATCTTCAAAGCCTTAACCTTTTACCACTGGTAACAGTAGCATACCCTAAAAATGATCAATATCTAGATGATGTTGGAGGACATATTTTTTGCGTTTTACCATTGCCTATGTGGCAAAAAGGTATCACAGGTTTACCTGTGCATGTGAATGGTTTCTTTGCACTTAGTGAAGATAGGCGTGATTTAAAATGGCCAACAGATCCTAAAAATATAAACAAAGACCAGCAAGTTCTTTGGAATAACTTCCTTATAACAAAATTGCTGCCTCATGCTTATAGTAACTTGATGAAATATTTAATTCAAATGAACTCAATTTCAGATATCGTGTATGACTGCTGGCCAAAAAAAGATGTAGTTGACAAGAAATGGCAGCAACTCTTGAACCCTTTTTTTGAAAAGGTTTCTCACTTAAAATGTTTTTATTGCAGTTTTTGTAAAGAATGGTTGTATCCATCAGATTGTTATATTCTTAGACCAGATTTATTTTTATCTGAAGAACAAAAATTATGTATTAGAGGATTTCTTGAGATGTGTGGTGAAAAAGTTACTGTTGTTCCCAATCATGTTCAATCATACTTTAGCAGTCTTAAACTCATCTCTAAGTCATTAGTACAAACTACTCTTAAAAAAGACTTAGATTTTTATAAATTTTGTAAAAGCTCTGATATGATGCACATTTTAGAGTTTATCTTGACTGATATGTCAGATGCTGAAAAGCTATGTGAAATACCTTTGTTACCAATGCATGATGGAACATTGGGTTCTATAAATTACAAGAGCAGTTCCAACAGTTCAATTTTTATTGCTACTGACAATCATCCATTAGAGATTTTTCCATCCCATCAGAATTTTTTTAATCAAAAGCTTCTAAAGGAAAACAAAACTTTAATGAAGATTTTTCAATCTGTAGCTAAAACAGGTTTTTTTATTTGATTTTCTTTTTGCGCGTTTAATTATTTTTTATTTATTTAAATATTTTTTATTTATTGAGATGATTATTTTATTTACAAACAATTGCAACAATGACTCTTAAATTCAAGTTCTCGTATTCAAATTACATGCATATATATGTTGTATTAAATTACTCACATTCAAATTACGTTGTATTAAATTATATGTTTATTATTTGATTGGTATTTGAATTATGGGCATTCCCATTTCTGTGCCTGATTTTTTATTATTCTTTGTTTCAACAATTAAAAGCTGGGACTTATAACAATAATCATATTATTATGATTTTCTTAAAGAACAATTATGAAAAAAAAAAAAATTTTCTTATATTTTAGGTTACCTGAATATATATATATATATATATATATATATATATATATATATATATATATATATATATATATATATATATATATACCACAATTCTGATTGGTAAGTAGAAAACATTGAAAAAAGAACTGATTGGGATTGGAAAAAGGCCATAACTCAGTTTTTACAAAAATGGACATAGTGTCTTTTGCATTTGTAGTTATAGATCTTGAAAGGCTTATATATTTTGTTTCTAAGCTGAATTTTAATTTTGCGCCTTTTCAATGCTGCGTCTGTGTGTTTTGCACACTTAGCACATGCTATGAGCTGGCAATATACATATATGTATGTATATATATATATATATATATATATATATACACACATATATATATATATATATATATATATATATATATATATATATATATATATATATATATATATATATATATATATATATATATACTGTATATACAAATCATATACCTTCTTATATATTGATAAAGCTTTTATATATACTTTTTAAACATTTAGTGTCGTATTGTTAACAGACAATTAACACAATTCGTATTGATTGGCTTATATTGCCTTGCCTAATCATGTTTTCATTTTCGAACAAAATGCTTATTTGGGACTTTAAACAATTTTTGTACAAATCAATTTTTTTACAGTTAAACCATTTCCTACATTCGAGCCCATTTTTAATACCATCTTTTCAAAGTTTAAAATTTTTGAAAATATACTCAGGAAACGGTCTAAAGCAAATTTAAATTATTTCAACCATTAAGAACATTAAAAATTAAAAATTAAACAAAACAAAATTCAATTAAAAAATTGAAAATTAAAAATCTATTTGTCTAAAATTGCCCTTCAGAAAATTAGAAAAATCAGGGGTGAAATCTCTGGTATTTTCCATGTTGCCCTGCCATAGAAGAAAAAAAGTCATAACTAAAAAAATATTTTTTTTAAAAAATTAATTTTGTATTATTCTCACTCAATCTTCAATCAAATTAAATTTAGTTGAAAGATTAAAACATGTTTTAAAGTAGTTTAACCTTTAAGAACCAATGGTTTTTATTTACAGAACTAATCTTTTAGATGCTATAATTTTTTTATTTTTATTTTGAACAACTATTTTTCAATTTTGTAAAAAGAAAATATTAATTTGAGTATTTATTTATAAAAATATATTTTTCTTAAAAAAAAAATTTTGTATTATACAATTAGGTGTATTAATTCTAATTATTAAAAAATATTTATTTGGTTTTTATCTCAATATTTTTAAAACATATTTTTAGTGTTCCACATACGGAACATTTGGTTGTTACAGTCATTGTTAAAAGTGAATAATTTTATTAAAGCTTCTTGTTAAATTTTATGATTTTATAATGTATGCAACATTCTGTATCTAATTTTCATGTTTAGAGTACATTCTTGTGTACTATCCAGATCATTAATTTTCCTTTGCATCTATAAGCATACATGGTCCATTCTGTAAGTAATTACCTTCAAACAAATATTTATTTATATGGATCGTTGGAGAGTGACTTCTTCCAGCTTAATGATACCACAAGTTACTTTGACTGTTATATATTTGCCCATATACACCTACACGGCTCAAAGATTAATTTTTTCATCCCTCCTAACTGCATTCTCATTTTCCTGGTTTTTCAACTCCATTTTAAACATCAGTAGCTTTCTTAAGTGTTGCTTAAAATACAAATCTGTGTCACAACGGGCTGGTACACTGGTTCCAACTGTGTATTAGAGTGGCTTCCTTTTGAGTCATAGATCAGAGATTTTTCTATGCACAGATATTTTATTTATCATGGATTTCCGGAAGGATGACTACATTCTCTAACAGCTCTTTGTAATGGTCCCTTATGGGATTGACCCCAATCCAGGACATTCCCGAAGTCCTATATAAAAGATTCTCTGTGCTTATGTGTCTTATCCATCCTGGGCTTTTTTATATAAAACTGGCACTCCCCACATTGTCTTGGATTTATATTCACTCTTGTAACTGACCTTTAATTAAACTAGCCTTGACACTCAGCAAGGGCTTACATGTATCAATTTATCACTTTATATTGCACACGTAACAGACGTCTTGTTTATCTTCCTGACTAGCAACTTTTATTGTTGCTGTTGCTATTAATCAAGTTTTAAGTTTGTTAGTTGTTAAACTCCTAAAGAAGCTATTGTCTTATAGTCCAGGTTACTACAGCCATTCGTTTTAAAGGCATTTTGATGTTGTTTAGAACTGTTACATGTTGAACTTTTCTTTTATTATAGTTATTTTTTATTTTTACTTTTGTATGCAATATTCTAGCACTAAACTACTATTTATCCAATTGCAAAACATCAAGGAATAGTGGTTTACTGCATCAAGCAATGAACATATATTCAACTTCTCACCCTTTGTGAGATCCTCATGTCTAATAAATTTCTTAGTTAATGAACATGAGCATCTTACAAAGAGTGAGTATATTAGGCGTAGTAAAAAGAAGCTACTTTTAGCAGCTTCAGCTCTTAACAATAAAATCATTACAAACCTTTCTAATCATTTACTCACAAAACCTAATTAAAAATCATCAGAAAATTTGAAATAAAAATGAAATTAGAATTCTTTTTTAATAATGGTTATCCTTAAATCACTCTACCATAAAAGAAAAATACCAATCCCAATGGTTCCCACCACCCCACAATAATGCAACTCAAACCATTTTTTTTGAAACTTTCTAAAAAATGCATGCACAATACTTGACAGCAAAAAATTAGGTTTTATAACCTAAGTAAACTACGGAGCTTTAAAAAATTTGGAATCAAACAAAACTATTACAATTAAAAAACCTGATAAAGGAGACAGTATTGTTATTCTTAACACAAATGATTATGAAAACAAAATTAAAGACTTGCTATTGGATGACAAAACCTAACACCCATTCAAAACATACCACTCATTCGACTCAACTTTGCATGTGATGAACAACATCAATCACTTGTTGACATTTTGAAAAGTAAAACATTTTATCACTGAACTTGTGTGAACTTCAATAACCAACAATATCAGCAAATCCATGGTACTTGCATTTTACAAATGTTTTATTGATGACAATTTTTTTCATTTTTAAAAGCTCCAGAGAAGTTATCCGACTGGTCAAGACACTCATGAATGTCCTTCACCTACATTTAAATTGTATTTAAATTAATTAATAAATTAATCATTGTCTTAATTTATAGATTTATTCATTCAAACTGCAAATTTGTTCTATGTTTACACTCTTAATTGCATTTATCATTACCATCATCTTAATTAACTCAATTAACTTTAAGAATACCATCATGATGGTTAAAGTTTAAAAATTTTGGAATATTTTGATTAAAAACATTTTATAACATTAAATTTACTTTATCTTACATTAATGATGCTTAATTATTTTAAAAATATTGCTAATTAGTTAAAAAAAATAATGTTATATACATTAAATAAAAATTAAAAAATAAAAAAGTACCTTAGACACCAGAAGTTCCCTATACAAAACAGATTAAAATATGCCTACTGCTACTGGAACAATCATATGTTTTGAATACAGAACATTCTAGATTTACCCTAAAACATGAAATTTTTTCAAATTTGTTTTTCCTATTTATATTTAAACTTAATTCTTGTTTCAAATTCATTATAAAATTCTTTTTTTTTAAAAAAAAATGCAGGTTTGTAAGGGTTAATTTACTAAGACTTCTTTAATAATTTCAGTAGTTTAAATGAAATTTTTACTTATGTAAAATAAAAGGTTCAACGTTGATTAATAATTCATTTGATTCAAAATGCAACTAATATGCCTAAAAATGATACATTATCATTATCATTAATTAATCACAAGGAATAAAATCTTCATGGTTAAAAATATGATTTTGTTAAGTTTACACTCTTTTGTAAGTAACAAACTGTCTAGATGTCCTGCCAGACTACCGACAGTTGTTTTTTTTATTGTTTCACCCTACTCTTTTCTATAATCATTTAGGCTAGCAATTGATAGTTGGACCTAGGCCCTTGGCTCTGGCAAGTCAAATTTACTAAACCTATTGTGAGAGTGAAGTATACAGTATATAAGAAAAGGTTATTGAAGTATAGCCTCAATAAAAATTTGTTATATTAAAGAAAATTTTGTTTAGCAATGACTGAAAACATCCTATTCTTTTCAAATGTCTACTTAAAATTCTTTCTATTATATACTTTTATTGCTTATTAAATTTTTCCTTCTTTAGGGGAGAAAGGATAAACTTTTGACATAGCAAGACATTAGAAAAATGTTATAAATGGTCAATATGTTTGTAGATATTACTGCCTCGGTTTTGAAACAGCTTGTTGACAGTTGTCCGCAAAAAATATATATTTAGAGTAAAGGAACATTTTTTTGGTTAATTGATGCAAAATTTTCAATTGCAAGTTAATTAGATCTTAGATTTGATCTTTGTTTTGTTTTCATTAGAATAATGGGTTACCTGTGGACATTGAATTGATATGATTTTTAAGATTAGTTTTTAAACATTAAAAATCAAGAAGAAAAAAGAAAGTTCAAATATTGTTGAAAGAAACTCTAAAATGTGCGTTATAATTTTTTATTATAATTCAGTTAACCCAATTATAATGAAAATTGTACAAAGTTTACTCAATATTTCCTATATATTAAACTTGTAGACTTAACACTCTAGGTTTGCTTATTCAAAAATCTTTTAATTAAATCATTGAATAGTCTCAGTAAAGTTTTTAGTTTAACTTTAAATTAAAAGTAAATGTTAAGTTTTAAATAAAACTCACCCATTTTGTCATTGTTTCATTGCTATGGTTAAATTGTTTCATTGCTATGGTTACATTATTACTAATGAATCTTTTAATAAATAAAATATATATTTAATTCCTCTTTTTTAACTTTTAAAAGCTTTTTTAGAATGTCTAAAAATGGCGTGGCACTAATGCCTCTTTTCCGCAGTGGCTTATTTAATAATTTACAATATATTACTCTCGTTTTTTTTATATTGAGCTTTTTTTAAATTTGTTTAGAGAAGTTTAACATTACAGTAATTGACAGTTGTCAGCAAGCTTTGGATGTTATAAAAGCATTATGTGAACAAAATAAATCTAGTTTTAAAAAAGTCGTAATAAATGATTTTTATCACAACTGGTACAAATCTATGTGGTCCTACAAAAAAAATTATAGATTACCTTTAAAACAATTTGAAGGAATACCAGTGGTTTTAATTAAACAACAAATGGAAATCTCATTAAATGTATTAACTCAAAAAGACACAAATATTATTGTGGAGTCTTTTGAAAAATGCTTACTAACACCAGCCATGAAATTATTTTTAGATAAATGTCATGTTCCATTATTGTATGCAGATGACTTAGATCAAATTGATATTTTTGAACTATGCTCAAATAATTTCATTATAAAACCTACGAATCAAGGGTTTTTAACATCCCTGATAAATCACTATTTGCAATCAAAGATCGATGTGTTGAATTGCATTTCAGATGCACCAATAGAGATACGAAAGGTAATTAGGGCTGGTATGGAAAAAATTTTAGAAAATCCCTCCTTACTTAGTGAAAGTACAAAATCATTTGTTAAAAAATTAAAAGTTTTTGAGATTTTGCACCCTCCAGGTGAATTTGTATGTTTGGATCAAAGTTCTTATATTGTTGATAAAAAGCATTTTATACCTTTAATGTCATCGCTTGGAAATTTTATTGATTCAGCATCAGTCTCTTGCTCAATCATGAATGCATTAAATCTTAAGCAGATATCATTTAATGATATTGTTTTTTTCTTGACAAAGAATTTCCTAAGGTTTTCTTCAGATCAGCAACATCAACTCAATGAGTTTCTATTAGTTTGCCTAGAAAAGTTTGAACCAAGTATAGATGCATTGAATTTACTAAAAAATCAAATTTTTGTTGAAAGTGATGGTAAGCTTTTAAAGCCTTCTTCTTTATTTGAGAAAACAAGTGATTTGGAGAAAATGTTTTTTGGAGAAATTAGCCGATTTCCTAATGACAGGTACAATACCTCAGTACTAAAAAAACTAGGTTTAAAGTTGAATTCAGATTTAAGTTCTAATGATATAGCTCAGAGCATAAGTTTTATTGACAAAACAAATTTCAAACAAGAGGATTTTTCAAAACTCATCAACAAAATAAAAATTATTTTACAAGAAAAAAACTTTAGCATGTCAAATTATTTACATTTAAAGTGGATACCAATAAAGCAAAGATGTTTAGGATCATACCCTTTATCTCTGCAATGGTTCGGAACTGGAAAATGTTTGGTAGATTCTAGTAATGTCTATTTGGATTCACATGAGTGTTTGATAGGAAGTGTTGCTTATATCATACATCCAAGCTTATCAGAAACATATTCAAAAATTTTTTGTAACATAAATCCATCTTTAAACTTGATAATGCAGCATTTAAAAAATATTGAAATAAATTACAATGATGAAGAAAAAGGTCTTTATAAGCAAAATATACAAATTGTTTACAATTATTTGCTCAGGTTTAACGTTAATGATGTTGTTAGTTTTTTTAAGAAACATCAGATGAAAATCTGGAGTGGCTCTCATTTTATAGATGTTAATAAAGTGCTTTTTAAAAACATGTCTCTTAACTACGATGTATCTCCTTATTATAATCAAGTTAAAACTGTAATTTCTGATGTTATTGAAAATTATATTCTATCATTAGACACTTTTCCTAAAAATGAGATTGATGTATATTTGAATGTTCTCAAGCAAATCAAAGAAAAACATGACACAACAGATAAAGATACATCCTTTGATCTCAATCTATCAATAAATCTTGTGAAATATATTGCATTAAACTATTCTTCATTACCAAAGAATAGTCAAGTGTTTGTACCAATACAAAGTAGAAGACTGTGTCTCAATTTATTGTCAGAATGCTATTATAAAAGTAGTGATACAGGAGATTCAAACACAACTTACAATATACTTCATGAATTATTTAGTGAAGATGATGCCAAAATGTTAAATGTTCGTAATTTAGTGAGTGTTATTATCTCCCCAACAACATTTTCTTGCTTTCAGTCATGGGGACAACAGGAACCGTTAACAACCAAACTTAATCGAATTTTAAAGCTGTACAATGATGGATTTGCCATAGCTAAAGAGTTTGTTCAAAATGCAGATGATGCTGGAGCAAAAGTAGTCAAATTTCTCTATGACAAACGACAAAACAAAGAGTTAAAAAGCAATTTATTTGATTCTGGCATGAAGCATTGGCATGGGCCAGCGCTCTGGATCTATAATAGTGCAGAATTTACTGAGCAGGATTTTGTTAACATAACAAAATTAAATGCTGGAACCAAAGAATTCGATACTTCAAAGATTGGTACTTTTGGACTGGGTTTTAATTCAGTTTACCATCTTACTGATGTACCAAGTATACTAAGTGGAAATACTCTTGTTGTGTTTGATCCTCATACAGAATATCTTGGAAGAGCAATACATGATAAAGGAGAACCTGGTATAAAAATGACACTAGTAGGGAATTCCAACTGCTCTCAGTTTAGTAATCAACTTAAAGTTTTTCATGGAATATTTGATTGTCATCTTGACTTTGATAGTGGAGATGTTCAAACATTTAAAGGAACTCTTTTTAGAATACCTTTGCGTAGCAGTGAAACTGCTCCACTGAGTAAAATAAGCCCGTTAGTTTATTCTGAAAATGAAATGAAGTTGTTGTACCAAAAAATTGAAGAACGAATTAAGCATTTGTTAATGTTTACTGAAAATGTTTCTGAATTTGGTTTGTTTGAAATATCTAATAATGTAAATAAAGTATTAACTATATCAACTGTTAAGAAAAACATTGAAGTAATTCATAGATATGGTGTAACAAATGAAATTTCAGTTATGAAAGTTGGTACACATATGCTTCAAAATAATCTTAACTTTGAAAATATAGATATTCAATTAAAAGTTTCAATTGATTCTGTTGTTAAAAATAAGACAGAAAGAAATGTTTATCTTATAAGTTCTTGTATTGGTGGAGAGAACTCTTACGAGTATGCCAAAAAAAACAAAGGACAAAATTCTTGCGGATCGATAGCCGTTGAAATTAGTGAACAGCAAGGAGATAAATTTGTTGCGAATGCTGATGGAGATTTATTTTGTTTCCTTCCTTTACCAATTAAAAGTGGATTGCCCGTTCATGTTAATGGTTTTTTTACTCTTTCTAGTGATAGAAAACATCTTCTAATAACAACTCATGATGATAAGTCTTATGGGACAAAAGACTGGAACAATATTTTAGCTGAAGATTTGTCTACACCATATATAAATCTTTTGCTTCAATTAAAAAGATTGAACTCAAATTACACTTTAACTGAATGGGCAAAAATTATCCCGTTTGGTGTAACATATAGTGCAAGAAACAGCTCTATGCAATGTTTAGTTAGGTCATTTGGTAAAAAAATGGTTGAAAATGAATTACAACTATTCCCCTCTGGCATTAACAATGAATGGATTTCATGGAAATATTTAAAATTCTTGTCAAATGAAATTAGTTTTAGTATAAGACAAGAAGTGTTAGCTTTTATGAATTGGTATTATTCAATGATGCAACCTAGACTTTATGTTGTTGATATACCAGAGCATGTTGTCAACTTGCTTTTAGAATGTGGAATTAGTGTAGAATCTAACAAGATAACAGTAAAAGCATTTATTAGGTTATTTTTAGATAATCTTGGTCATCCTCTGCTCGATGATGACTTAAGAAATAAAATCACAATTTATTTTATTAATAACAATATTGATTGTCTTTACAATTACAGATGCTTACCTACAAAACCTAATGGAAAGTTAAAGATGTCATCTGAGTGCGTTGCAGTAGATAGCAAAGCTGCTTCTTTATTTTTTTTATATGATGAAGTATTTGTGTTAGATCAGTTTACACCTTCTCTATCTAAGTTTAAGGATATTAATTCTTATAATTTGTCATGGCCAATGATTTTATTATGTGCAAGGTCTATATCTAGTATGTCTGATATTGCAGAAATTGTCAAACGCAGCAAGATGTTAATAGAGTTAATGGAATCTACCGAGACTGATAAGTGTCCAAACAATATAAAAAATGAACTTTTAAAAACAAAATTTTTACCATCTTATGAAAAACCTGACTGGTGGCCGTTTAATTCTCATTATGGAGAATGTAAAAAAGTAGAAGCTCCTTACAATAGTTTTGGAAAGAATTGTCTTTATTTGGCTAGTGTGACAAACCCAATTTGTAAATTTCATATAAAAAAATCTTTGTTTAACTTTTTGGGCTTAAACAAGATCCCTTCTTTTGAAACTGTGAAACAGCAGTTGATGGATTTAAATTTAAAATCTAATATTGTATGCGAGCGTCTGCAAACAATTCTAAATGACATATATAGCTATTTAGATAGCCATGCTACTCCCAGTCAACTAAAGGAACTAAATAAGTTGTGCATAGTGTATTCAGAAAACTGTAACCTAGTACTTCCTAGTTTGACATTTATTTGCTTTCCACTTGACATCTCTCCATATATATTTAAATTATCAAAAAGTATTTCAGGTAACAATGTTCAAAAAAATTTAATGATAAAATTAGGAGTAAAGGATAAACCAGAACTTGAAGACTATTTAAATATTTTATCAAGAATAAATGAAGATTACAAATTTGACTCTCTTCCTGATCAGCTACTTAAAGCAATAAATCAATTTATCATTTCTGAGTTATTACCTTACAAAGATTCAATTATTAGTGAGAAGCTATACCTTCCTGATACAAATGGTAAACTGAGAATATCTACAGAGTTATATTTTAAAGATGTTTTTTGGACTCCAGATCAGCCAGGAATAAACTACACTCATGGTGATATTCCCCCTAATCATTGTATTGCACTTGGTGTTAAACCAGCTAGACACAAATATTTTAACATGATGTCAAAAAGAATATGCTTTAAACAGTTTGGTCAGCATGAAAAATTGTCTGTCAGATTAGCAAAACTTATAAAAGGATATCGAAATAGTGAAGACATTTTAAATGAGTTATTGCAAAACGCTGATGATGCAGGGGCAACAGAAGTTACATTTTTATTAGACACAAGAACTCATGGAACAGAAAAGGTTTTTTTTAATGAATGGAAAGATCTTCAAGGACCTGCACTATTAATATGCAACAATGCAATATTTAAACAAAGCGATTTGGAGGGTATTCAGAATTTAGGTGAAGGAACAAAAAGTAAAAATGCTTTGCAAACCGGAAAATATGGAGTGGGATTCAATGCAGTGTACCATATTACAGATTGTCCAATGTTGCTTACACCTATTGCAGATAGTAAAGATGTTTTGTGTGTATTTGATCCAAATCTGAAGTATGTTGTTAATGCAACTGAACAGTTTCCAGGAACTCTGATTGAAGATGCAAGACAGGTCATTGAAACTTATAGTGATGTTAAAAAGGCATTTTTAATTGATGAATTTAATTCTAAAGGTATGACTTTGTTCAGACTTCCCTTAAGAAATAAAAAGATGGCTGAAGTTTCTGAAATATCAAAAACAGAGGTAAATAATGATTATATTAGCGATTTATTTAGTAAATTTGAAAAACATTCTTCCATTGTTCTGCTTTTCCTTAAAAGTGTGCGTAAGTTGACATTTAGAACCATAAAAGATAATGCTGATACATCTACAACATTTGTTGCTCAACATTATGATACCAATTTAAAAAAGATTACTAACTTTCAAAGAGCTGAAAAAGATTTTGCTAATAAGTTGGGAAATGTTACAGCAATAATGAATTTAGTAGAACGACTCAACAAGTTTGTGTGTGTCACACATTTGATAAACAATGAATTTTATAAATCATATCACTGGAACATTATTGAGCAAGTTGGATTTTCTTCGATAGATTGCGTTTCTCCTCAAATAATGGAGTTGATTGAAAATAATGAACTATATTTAATACCAAAAGGAGGTATTGCAATTCATATTTATAAGAACTGTGAAACATGTGAAAGTATCAATGAGGTTAACAGAATAAATAAAACTACCTCTATTGTAGACCATGGATTAGTGTTTTGTTCTTTGCCATTGCCCATGATTACCAACTTACCAGTTTTTATTAATGGTAATTTTGTTTTGGAATATGAAACACGACGATGTCTTAGCCTAAGTGTTCCTGATTCGGTTGATTTTAAATGGAATAAAACAATAATTCAGCATTGTATTGTTCCATGTTACCTAGAATACATAACACAGCAGGCGTCTAAACTTTCAAAATATTTTGATGATTTGGAAAAACAAAATAATAAGATAAGAAAATTTTATAACATGTTTCCTAAATCTGACAATAATATACACAACAATTTATTAATGAATTTTTTTTTTCAAGCAATATCGGACCATAATCTTTCAGTATTATTAGTGCTAAATGAAAACAATGGCGAACCTAGGGTTGATTGTGTTTCATCTAAAGATTTTTTGATATATGAACCTAAAGAAGATGTTTTCTTTTCTTCAACAGCAAGGTTTTATAAAGAGGTTTTCTCTTCAACAAAAAGTCCCAAAAGGTCTCCATTACTATTGATGTTGCAACAACTATTTATTCCGTGTGATTTATTACCAGAACATATTAAAGAGGGTTTTGTTCAGATTGAAACCCCACTTAAAGTGTGCACTCCAAACGTCATTTTGAAATTATTGTGCGAATTAGCATTTAAAATTCTGCCTAAAAATTCTAAACACTGGGATGTGGCAAAAACAAGATTTAGAGATAAAAAAAATGTAAAAATGGTTTTGGAGTATTGTTTGTCTAAAGAAACAAAAAAATGTAGCATTGACGAACAAAAGAAAATGTCAAGAGCATTATTTTCTCCATCAGTAGATGGAGAAAATAATGCTCCAGCAATAGAATTAAATGGTTTACCTTTGTGTTTATGTGCAGATGGCAGTGTTACTCATTTTTCTAAACAAAATCCAAAGTTTTTAACTGAGTACAGTTGTTTGTTTAAAGAGTTTGCCAATGAGTTTGTAGATAACGAATTTGTTAATATTCTTAATGAATACAAAGACTGTGATTGTTTCAAAGAATTTTCAATTAAAGACTTTGTAAAGTTTTTACCTGAAGTTTTAACAAAAGAGAAGTTTTTTGATATCATTATTGAGGTTAATTTAGAAAAAGATAAAAGTATTTTGGGGAAAGACTTTATTTGGTTTAAAAATGCATGGCGTTTTCTTGCTGAAGTTGAAAATGAAAAATCTGCCAAGTGGTTACATAGCGATGTAAAGCCATGGTCCTTATTAATTGTAAAGTCTGGTGATAAGTCATTTGTTTTTCCTATTGAAAAAAGTAAAAGCGTTTTACAGTTACAAAATGTTCATAGTAGTTTTGAAGAGCTATCCGAAATACTGAAAAAATATTTTGGGGTTTTTGAAAGTGATTATATTGAAGATAAAAAATCTACTAGTAAAACAAATAATAGGTCAGAATTAGGATCAATTGAAAAAATTAAGGAATTTCTATATTCTATGGATTTGGCTAAAAAAATTTTTGGTAACATTGAAGAACCATCAGACTTGGTTAATGCATTGACTTTTTCATTCAACAATGGAAAATGGAACAAATACAGTGAAAAAGAAGCTAATACAGTTTTAAAACAATTTTCTTCTCCAAATAAATATCTAGAGCCATTCGTTATAGACAGTTTAAAAAATTTGCCTCTTTTTTTGTCTATTAATAATGATTTTCTGCCACTTAAAACAGATAAGTTTGTCCTTGTTACTGAGCATGTTCTTTTTGATGGTTTAGGGGATTTACTCAAAGGGATTACATTTCTAAAATATATTGATGAAAATATTAAAAGTCTGTATATATCACTTGGTTCTGATTGCATTAACAGAATTGAGTTCTACAAAATATATGTAGTTCCTAATTTTGATAGAATTAATGAATTTTCAAAAGACAAACATATAGATTTTATACAAAGCAAGTTTGGATATTTATTTGGAAATGATAAAGATCAGTGGATTAAGTTATTAAAATCACTTAAGTTTGTGAAAAACTGTAATGAAAAACGAATGTTCTGTTCAGAACTTTATGATCCAACTAATCCTTTATTTGATAAAATATTTCAAAAAAATAAATTTCCAATGCCAAAATATTGTGATGAATGGACTAGTAGTGAAAATTCTGAATGGCTTCTTTTTTTAAAGGAGAATGGTTTGATAAATATAATTTCTAAAGATATTTTTATCTTACTTGCCAAGGAAAATGAAAAGCTTGAAGATTTGAAATTGTTTAACGATGTATCAAAAGAGTTGATTAATCACCTTAATCATTTGTTTACTTTAGATTTATATGAAAAAATAAAAAATATAAAATTTGTTACATCTGTAAAAATGAATAAAGTTAGAGAAAACTTATGTCCTAGCGTGAATTCAACTTGTAAAAAAATTTGCTTTAATGGATCTGTTTTACATGAATCTCGAGATTTATTTTGGACAAAAAAGCCAATTTTACCAAAATACTTAGATCAAAATTTAACTTCAAATTTAAAAAAGTTTCAGCAATATGAGCCTGATGTGATTGTAGATCATGTAAAAAATGTTTTAAATTCTAACCAATTGTCACAAAAAAGTAAGACACAAAAGTTGATACCTTCTGAACTTGTTGTATCATTTCTTACTATTTTTAAACATATTTATTCATACTTTTTATCTTTAAAAAACTTAAAAGATATTATTTCAAAATTAAAATCTATGAGCATTATTCTTGTTTCAAAAAATACATGTTTAGAAGTTCCCCATAAAGCTTTGCTGTTTGAAGAAGGGAGTATTTCACCCTATTTATGCCCAGTAGATGTTTCTTCTTTAGGTCATTATTTTAAGCTTTTTGAGGAAGTAGGATGTCATTCTAAACCTTCTTCATTAATTTATATGCAAGTTTTAAAAAATTTAAAAGAAGAAATTAATGAAAATACTTTGAACCCTAATGACTTAAAGGTTGCTTCAAGTGCAATGCGTTATTTATCTGACATGCTTCAAAGAGATTCACTTTTGCCAGTTGATTCAAAACTTTATTTACCAACATATATATTTATTAACAAAGAAAAAAATTGTAATTATTTAACTCTTTCTTCAAACATCATAGCAATGTCAGATTTATGCTATGCAGAAAGATTAAAAAACTTTCAAGAACCTATTCTCTTTAGTGACAAAAATGATAAAATTCAACCTGGAACAAGTGAAGTTTTGATGAAACATTTACCATTAGACATTCGACCTAAAAATATAAGAGATGTGTTAAATGAAGAAATAATTTCAGAAATAAATCCTATAACTATTCCATCAGGCCATATCAGCAAAGACATGAAAAAACGTTTGAAAGCTCCAGAATTTTTAACTGCATTGCAGCGCCTAATAAAGCATGACTCTATATCAAGATCGATTGATACTAATTCAAACAATACTATTGAAACAGTTACAAATATTTTGCAGCACTTTAATGTTGTTGTTGTTCCGAAAATTGAAACAAAGCTCAGGTTTCTTCCCAAGAATACTTTGATTGATGAAAGTAATTCTGATTGCAATGTTTTCTTATGGAAATCAAAAAGTGAAGTTACATTGTATTTAGCTTCGATTTTAGAAAAAGATGATTCAGACAAAATTTATACATATCTAACTACCCACTTAATGAAGTATTTGGGATTGTCGTCTAATGAACCAACTCTAACATTATTACTTTTTCAAATGTTTCATTACCCATTACGACGTTTGTTGTCGATATTAAATGATTATAAAATTTATCATGATTTTTCAAATATATCTTTCTTAAACCATGGCCAGCTTCCATTGCCTGGTGACAAGGTACCTTTAGAATTCCATCCATTACTTAGTAATGAATATTTTGAATTTGAGATTGATGATTATGCAGCTCTAGATGTTGGTGGTGAAGACGAGAGAGAATTTATTTATGTGCTTATAAAAAAAAAACCTTTAGGATGTTTTAGCAATATAAATAGTGAGTATGAAGTACAAGAGAGTCCTGATGGGATGCTGGTTAAAAGGAGATCTTTTTTATTATATGGGTTTAGTAGAAATCTAAATCCTGGTTTGAGGAAAAGAATTGATTCATTAGGTGTGGCATTAGTTTCTGGAACAGAAAATATAGATGAAGACTTGGATAACTTGGAGGAAGATTTTGGAGATGTTGAAGAAATATGTCACTTAATAAAAGAAGAGCTGAAAAATCTTGCCAGTTTATCTTCAGAGGATAAAAAGAAAGTCATTCGTAGACTTTATTTAAGATGGCATCCAGATAAACACGCTTTGAAAAACAAAGATAAGGCCACTAAAATATTTCAGTTTTTACAGAAATGTATCAACATGTCAGAAGAAGGAATGTCCAATAGTTTTAGAAAATGGTCCTCAGAAGCCTCAAGGGATAGAAACAACTTTAAGAACTACTTCAAGACATTTAATAAAAGTGATTTTTACAACAATTGCCAAAGTTCTCACAGCTGGGTTCCTCCTTCGTTTAAAAAAAAAAATCCACAACCTGGTGAGGCAAAAAGATGGCTTCGACAAGCGAAAGTTGATTTGGATTGTGCAGAAAAAGAAATATGTTTTGAATGGAAATGCTTTAAATCTCATCAGGTAAATTTTTTTGTATATACGTACAAATGTACTATTTGAATTATCACTTATTTACTAATATTTACACGCAAAGCATCCAAAAAAATTTTAGTTTAAAAAACTTATTTCCAAAATTTATTATTCATAACAAAAATGTTGTAAGTTTCAAAAATAAACCTTAAGCTTTATCAAACATCTATATCTATATTTATAAAGTTTAAAGTTTATACATTTTTCAGTAAACTCACAGTCATTGTTCAGAATTTTAATGTTAAGTTTTGATTAGTTTGGTTCAAAATTAAATATGTATACCATGATATAAATTTATATACAAATGGTTAATAAAAATTTCTTTTATTGTTAAACTTAAAATTTGTTTTCAAGTTTAATGTGTAAGTAAATTGTTAAAACTAAGTTTTAATTTAATTCGATTTTTTTATTGTTCAATATTGTTGATATAACTTAAATTTATTTTGAATTGTATCAACAATAATTGCTTTTAAACAAAACATTTTTTATGGAAATTTGTTTGTTGAAACTAGTAGTAGTTTTAATATCATTTAATGTTTATCAAAATGCTTATTGCAAATGTAAAAGTGTTGTATTAGGGGAGAGTGGGGGGAAGTGGAGCCGAAGAAGTGGGACAGCCTGAAATTTCTAATTAGGAGTGGTGACTAAATACTGTTATTTAATGTAAACAATTGAATTTCTTCCCCTTTGTATAGCAGAATTGGCTTTGTTTCCCTACATGCACTAGAAGCCCTAATTTTGAAACGTACCTTAAAAAAGTGTTTGCATAGGGGTGAAGTGGGACAATAAAAAGAAATAATTATGCCTCGCTTCTTCCCATAGCCATTTGATTATTTCAATTTGTGAAAGCTCTTGAACATTTTTATATCGATTAGGTGATTTTATGATTTTATCAGTTTCTATTTAATAATTTGTTTTAAAATGTTGTTTTAAATTTATTTGTTCCCACTTCTACTAACACTTGTCCCAATTTACCCCAATGACACAGTTTCTCTAAAAGCAAAATTTCATATACTTAGTTATAATTGGCTGGAAACCTAGGCGGATTGAATCATTTCCTAAAAAGAAGGTTTATTCATAAAAACTTATTTGGTTCAGTTTATACATCAAATAAAAAAGATATTATTATAATTACACTAAAATAAAATTTACGTGTCCCACTTCTCCCCACTTTCTCCTAATATTATAAATAAGAAAGCAGTGTATTAGTATTTGAAATGTAACAGTGATTAAGTTGAATTTATGAAAGCGTTATATTGACATTGGAACAGTTCAGAAAAATTATGTTTATACTCTGACTTTTTACCAAATAAATAAAGTTAAGATAAAATTATGTATTTAAATATTTTAAAAAATATATATTTTAAATAACTTAGATGCTTATATATTCTGATATTTTATAGTATTCAAGTCATCATATTCTAAATTACTTTATGAAAAAAACATAAAAAAAAGAAAATACAAAAATCCAATTTATTGATTAGGAGGCATTGTGTTTATTTTTTAATGAAAAAGGTTTTTGTTTTTATTATTTTTTACTGTTTTTATTATACTGTTTTTGTTTTTTTAATTTGGTTTTAAAAACTGAATTATTTAGATGAGGTACAATGAGCCTACATACATTTTTTTGTTTAGCCGTAAGATAATCAAAATGTAGTTAATCGTTTTCCCACCACTCCAATTCAACAAGAAATATATATAAAATATATATATAATATGGCTGATTGACATTAAGTTGGGATGTCAATGCCATCACGAGCCAATTGCTTGCATATGTTAGTAGCTTTGTTTGTTGATACTCTTGTGGAGGTCACCAAGTTGACTGGAATTTTGCTTTTATGATGTTTTCTGCTTGGTGTAGGAGTTGTCTCATCTTCCTCTTCGTTGTTTTCATATTTACTGTCGTCAGCCTCAGAGTCAGAATCACTAAAACCAGGATAGTAAGATGATGAGTTGAATGACTAATCAGAAAATTTATGTCTTTTAGAGGGATTGATTGTTTCTTTACTCGCTGCTTGGCCTGTAGAGTATCCCACTCTTCCTTTGCTTTTCACTTGGAGATGGTACAATTGCTTGTCCTCAAAAGATAACCACTTTAGTATTATCAAAAATTTCATAGAGGGGTTCGTATCTTCCTAGCTTGACACATTCATCATAACATTTCAGTATTTTATCAAGCTTTGGTTGTATAACTTGATCAGATACATGAGGAAAATTCAGTTTATTCTTTCACAATTTAGTGACTTCTTTGGAAGTTTCTGCTATTCGCTCCTTTCTTCCCTTGATTCTTGGTCCAAGGAAATGGTAGCATCCAATAACTTGCTTTTAGAAAGGCATTCTGCACTTTTCATCCAGTGAATATTTTTCCAAATGGACCATTCTTCTTTAATGAGAGTCTTCAAATTTTACCAGACATCCATCTTCTTCTGAGTGCTACTATCGCTGGGCTTGTACAACACCATGTGTTGCTTCTGTAATAACTATAAAATTAGATGAGCAGCTATATATAGTCTAAAATGTTCTAGAATATTCCAGAATGTTCTAAATTCTTCTAGAATGTTTCAAGATATTTTAAATTGTTCTAGAATTTCTAAAATATTCTGTTATTTTCCAAAATGTTTTAAAGTTCTAAACACTTCTAACCTATACAAGTTTTAAATGATTTAATTTCTTTATATAAAAGTACTGCATTTTTTCAATTTAGAGAAATAGCTATGTAACTGTTTAGAGACAACGTTCATCAAGTTTTATTCATCACAAAGTTCATTATTTGTACTAGAAATTTAATAAATTAATCAAAAGTATTAAAAAAAGTTGATTTCCTTCTGGACAAAACAAGTGATACTCCACAAAATGTTGACCAAGGGTCAATGTTATAAAACTTTTTATCAGCGTAAAATGCTACCGGCGGAATTTTTGCTCTGGAATTTTTACAGCCGTAAATTGAGAGACGTAAAATGTTTTTTCATTCAATGTTATAAAACTTTTACCGGAGTAAAATTTTGCAGATATCTATGCTCTGAATTTATTTTTGGATTTCTACTTTCCGAATCAATAACATAAAAGGTTGTCAAAAAAAAAATATTTTTGAGTTGAAAACATGAAAGTTAACAAAAATTAACACTTTCTTATGGATTTGGATGAAGAATATTTTTTGCTTTAGAATATTTGGCAAATCAGAGACAACCACGAGAAGTAAAATTGTTCAAACAGTATTTAAACTGTTAAGAATATAATTTAAAAGTAAAAAAATGGAATTTTCATTAAGTTTTTACGCTACCCTATAACAAAATATGTATAGCTTTTCTGTAAAAATAACTTTTTTAATACTATTTTTTATATAGAGATTTCTTTAGACCAGAGTTGTTAGTCCTTGGCCTTGACCTTGCCTTCAAATCAAAAACTAAGGCCTTGGCCTTGAAACTTTTGGCCTCGGCCTTGACCTTATGATTATTTGGCCTTGGTCTTTATAATAAAATACATAAAACTAAAGAATTAAAAGTTTTTATTCTTTTTTTTACGTAACTAATTAGGTAAATTAATCCTTCTTTATTTTGTAGAATTGTGTTGATATAAATACAGAAAATCTATACACATTTTATATTATACAATCTATACACATAGAAACACATATTATACAATCTATACACATAGAAAATCTATAAACACAGAAAAAATAGGAAAAATTGCATAAATAAACTTTTAAAAAAAATGACTTTTAATATTAAATAATTAAAAGAATTATACACAAACTCAAATTCTTATAACAAAAATTTAATTAGGCACAAATTTAAATAAACATTTAAACATAAACTCTTTTGATTATAATTTTATCCACAATAAGTTTTGACGTGCTTTCATGCCATAGGCAATATGAATAACTTTGGAAACGTTGTACATGATCTCTAAACACTTTCTGAAAAAGAAGAAAAATTATCGATGTATTTTGTTATCTGACTTTATCAAAAATATTTGAGCTCATACCATATTCAAGCATCAAAGGTTATTTCTAAAACTTTATTAATTCTGTTTATAATTTAACCACTTGTTTGCTATTTCGAATCTTAAATAACCGCTGCATAAATTTTAAATGGAGAAATTTCTTTTGCCTGTCCATTTTGAGATTGTCTAAAACTAAAGTTGATCTTATTTTTGGATCAATAAATAGTCCTAATAAATCTAGCATTTTTCTAATTAGCTCAATAACAAACTTTGGAAAGTTTTAAACACTTTAAATTCCTGATGGTTTACTTTCCGATTGCAATGTCTAAATGAAAATTTGTAAAGTTAATCTAAAAAGTTAAATTTGTTTATTAACTTTCATTCATGAAAACTTATATAAATACATACATACATACATACATATATATATATATATATATATATATATATATTTTTTATATATATATATATATATATATATATATATATATATATATATATATATATATATATATATATATATATATATATAAACACTTATCTAGTTTTATTCTTCAACAACATGTTTCTCCATCAGTAGGTTCATAAGGAAGGTTTATCAGTAGATTCAATAGTTGATCTGGTTTCCTGATAAACCTACTGATGCAGAAACAAGCTCTCGAAGATAAAAATTAGATAAGTGTTTTTACTAATTTATTATTGCTCTGTTCTTTAAGAACATTGAGCATTCTCTCTCTCCTCTCTCTCTCTCTCTCTCTCTCTCTCTCTCTCTCTCTCTCTCTCTCTCTCTCTCTCTATCTATCTATCTATGTATCTATATATATATATATATATATATATATATATATATATATATATATATATATATATATATATATATGTGTGTATATATATATATATATATATATATATATATATATATATATATATATATATATGTATATATATATATATATATATATATATATATATATATATATATATATATATGTGTGTATATATATATATATATATATATATATATATATATATATATATATATGATATAT